AGATGCAGGAAGAGAGCAAAGCCTCTAGGAATGTGGTATCTTCATGCAGTGAAAATTCTAAAAAACACCTGGCTGGTTCTAGATTTTCTGTAGCCATCATCAGATGCACCTGTCTGGGGGCTCACATTTTTCCTCTCCTGGAGCCTGACCACTGTTTGTTTTTGTGAGCTCCACAGAGATGCAAAAGAGTGGCATTCCATTTTCAGTCAGTCTTATTTTAGACACTTTAGAGAACAGAGAAGAATCTCTGTATCTTTGTTCTTACAGTTAATTATTTTCTGTTTTAAAACAAATGTACCCTGTTTGGATTTTTTTCAGCCTATCCTGTTTGCTTTCTTTCTGTTTTCTTTTGTAGCTATTGTAGAGCCATTTAGTCTTCTCCATACATTCTGCTGTCATGCACCTCCAGCACTGCAATCAAATAATTTCTCAACCTTTTTTTAAACTAAAGATTACACCATTTGATAACTTAGGAATTAACTGTAGTTCCTTCAGCCCTTAAATAAATTTTCTTTTTCTCAGTATTTTTTTTTTTTTAACTAGAAGGGAGAAAAAGAACTTTCTTCAGAAATGTGCTTACAAGAATTTTGTATATACTCTCTCATTAAATGCATCATTTACAATTAACAGCTTGGCAAACTGTAGATTTGGTAATTAGTTGTCCTTGTATTTTTGTATGTATTGAATGGACTTGATGCCCTGTAGTCTCACAAGACCAATATGGTGTTACTGGTTGGTGTGGGCTGGTCAGGGAAGAGGGAATTAACCTGTTTGCAGATATAAGAAAGATATGCATGGACTTGGTGCACATTACTGCTGTGGTTTCAAGAAACTTAGAGTGACAGATTGAAGGCATGGTGGCTGGTAAGAACATGGCTTGGGCAACTACAGTTTGAAGTAGGCAGTGCCTTCACGATAGCTTCAGGTTCAGGGAAGCAATTTCTCTGAGTAGTGAGCCTCCTTGTCTGTGAGAATACTAATGGGCCTGGTAATTCCATGTTTATTACTTCCTGGTAGTATATTGATCATTGCTTTTTCCATTCTGACCTTGCTGCTGCTCAGGATCTCGCAAGCTTTAGACTGCATTAATGCAGATTGTTTGCTGCAAACAATACAGATCAGCTGACAGCATCAGGCTGTAATGGATGTAGCCATTTGCTGCTAACCTAGAGGTGCAGGCAGGAGTCATGCTATCCCTGTCCTTCTCTCACTGGCATTAATTTTCCTGAGTTCACAGCCTTGGTTTTGATCAATTATTCTAACCATCTTTTCAATGTCTTCCATAATAACAGCACATGATGGAGAAGGGCTGAGCGTAGAGATGAAATGGGATGCAGTTGTCTGAAAGCCGTTATGCAGCCCTTCATTTTCTTTGATATAAAAACCTACAAATCTACAGTTAATTTCAGTTGTAAATTGTGTGTTAGCTCTTCTGAAATTATCAATCTGATCTTTGGCATTAGCAGCAGATGTCACACCTCTCTTCCAATAGCTTTTGGTTGGTGTAGTGGAAATGACCCAGTGATTGAGCACCTGATGGGAAGGCAGGGCCAACCCAGGAGAGCTCGGCTGTATGCAGTGTACCTGAGTGACCAGAAGGGGTGGAGCCAGGATCCACCTCTTCCCAGACCCCATGTAAGTGTCAGCAGTAGAGACAAGGGTATCTTGTTGGAGGTTTCTGTGTACTTGAAGCCTTCTAGATGTAAGCAGCTTCTTTTCTTTATGTCTGTGCTAGAGTTTGTTGTGTTTGAGTAAGTCTCACTTATGGCAGTCTAGGATTTTGCTATTCTGCTGTCATTATTGTGCTTTCTATCATGTTACAGCATTATCATTAGTTATTGTAATACTTAAAACATGAAGTAAAATCTGTTGCTTTTAAGTGTAGATACATAAATAAATGTGTAAGTATCTAAGTATTATAATAACAATAAATAATAGAGATCAATAGAAATTTTACTTGAAGACAAAACTATCCCAGCTTTTGAAACAGTAGCTTAATAAAAACACTGAAAGTGATCTTGATTTTTTTTTATCTTTTTATCTATTTATTTACAAAATTTAAGACCTTTGAAGTGTGCTAGTATTTTGTGTTTAAGTATTGATGTCTTACTGTTTGGAAATTGTGTGTTAAAATTGCTTAGCAAATCCTATGGGAAAGTATCAGATTTTGCTTGTAATTAAACACTTTTAATGGACTTACCTTAAAAAGCATGTATTTGTTTACAGAGTAGGTTTTGTCATTGTCCATGAATTGTTTAACACAAAAATTACATGTACACATCCAGAGTAAGACGTATCTTCTTTGAAGGTGATAAGCAGTATGTTTAAGGAAGAATCCATGACATTGTCTAATAAGGTGATAGAAGTAACCATTTCAGTAACAGTCTCATGATACAAAAGGAGGAATACTAGAATGGTTCATGTTCTGTTAGCTTTCATTTCTGGGATTTAACGGTGGCTATGTTTGTGAAATAAAAGTACTTCAATTATCTGTTGAAAGCTTTGTCATCTTGAAATGTCTTGGGGAGGATGGATGAGTAATAACGAATTTCTTTTGCTGTTTATTCCCTCTTCTTTGTCTTGTTTGTTTAATCTGTAATATGGTTTCTCCAGTGATACATATCTTTATTATTCAGTCCAACAGCATTCCAGCCCTAATAGTATGTGTGGTAATCAAATATACCACTGTGGTGTTTGTTTTTATTAATGAACTGTACTTGACACTTGCATATTTAGTACAATTGGTAGAGTAAGAATTAAGGCTACCTCACTAGAAGAGTAGCATAATGAGAGCTTGTTAATGTTTACATTATACTGCCATAGAGCTCAACGGGAAAAAATTATTTCTGTTCACTGGGAGCAGAGTTACAAGGAAAATCTATTGCTCCAAAGAGCATTATTACTTTGTAAATGGAGAGAAGGCTTGCTCTACCTCTAGAAGGGAGGTATAGTTCTCTATTCTGTATCAAGTCTGTTCTGTTGATACATTGTTGAACCACTGAAGCATTGTGCTCATTTTTTTCCTATCAATTTTCATAAAATACAGACTGAACCAGATATGCAGTAAATACAGCTGATGCAAAAAATTTGAATATATACCCTGTTGGCTGTATTTTAAACCACTCTGAAGGATGGTATGCTTTGGTGGGGCTGTTCTGAAAATCAGTCACCATATGATGCAGTACCTATTGTGGCCTTCCAGAACTTGAAGGGAGCTCTATGAGCGAGAGGGAGACTGACTTTTTACAAGGGCAAATAATAATAGAACAAGGAGGAATTGTTTAAATCTGGAAGAAGGAAGATGAGATTAGATATTGGGAGGAAATTTTTTTTTTCTTTTTTACTCAGGGAGTGATGAGGGGCTGGCACAGCTGCCCATACAAGCTGTGGTGCCCCCTACCTGGAGATGCTCAAGACCAGGTTGAATGGGACCCTGGGCAGCCTGAGCTGGTGAGTGGCAGCCCTGCCCATGGCACAGAGTTGGGGCCGAGTAGGTTTTGAGGTCTTTTCCAATCCAGGCCCTTCTTACTGTTCTTGGATGCAGGGCTAAAGGAGTGCTTGAAAATGTGGATCATGAAGAACATACTCCTTGAAGAGTAATATCAACTTCCTGGATAATCCAGTAGTTCTAGGTAAAATGTGTCTTTGAGATCCTTTCCAATAAGGGGAACAAGAGGAAATTTGCAGTAGTGTGCTAATGGCAATTCAGTCTAAAAAACGTTCGATGAGAAAAAAATGCAAATAGGATATTCCACTTAACACATGCATGTATGTTGAAAACTTTCAAAGAAAACCTGAATGTGGCACAAACTGATTAAAAAGAAGGAAATGGAAGAAACTCTTTTCCTCCAGGCAATTTTAATGAGATTTAACTAATTCTGTGCATCTCTTTTCATTTCTATCCTGTACTGGTACTGCGTATCACTTTATGTATTTGCTTTGGATTTTCTTACTATTTAGTGTGTCTGCAACAAAACTGTAAATGCAATGAATGTGGTAGAGAATTCCAGCAGGCATAGCTACACAGCTTGTAGGGACAGCCCAAGCTGAGTTAGTAGAATCCTGCATCCCGGATTTTAATCTCACAGGAGTATCAGCAAGGGATGTGGTAGTTAAATCTCTGATTGCGTTTCTACACATTTAAATAGCACCTTATCACGTAGTGGTGTAAGACCCTGCTTTGTCAAGTGTTACTTGCGTAGTTGTCTGCCTTTTTGCCTTCCTCATGACTATCTTTGGGAGTCTTGAAAATAGTAAGTCAAGTAAGAGTAATAATCACAGCTAGAAATGTATACAAGTCTCTTTTTAATGTCATGGTAGAAAATAATATTCTAATAGTACCAAAAAAAATTTTGTGCGGTTCCATTTGATCTTGTATCCTTGCAGTATTGTTTCCAGATGGTATGTTTAATTTATTCATCTTCAGAGGATTTAAGTTGTAGAAAGTCATAGCAGTAGGTTTTTTTTTTTTTTTTAAATGGTAGAGGGCAAAAATATTGGTAAGACTCAACTATTCTGGTGTACATCCAGTGAAGCAGCAAACAGATCAGCCTTCATGCAACTACATCTGTTCATCAGCTTTAAGTTACTTCATGATTAGATTAAGATATGGGCATAATACATGAAGCCAGTTCTGACCCTGATTCTTGTTCTTCTCCCCCTTCGTGATTGTTCTGTGGTCATATTTGGGCTCAGGGCCTGCCTGGATCTCACGGCTTCTCCCCTTCTCCATGCCTATGGAAGATTTTTTTTAGTGGCCTTTCACAATATGGCTCTGAAGTGTTACTTCTTTCCAAGAAAATAGACTTTGCATTAGATGTGGGCAGCTGGATGATGGAACTGAAGTGAACAAAACTAGCTGCTGTTGTTGCACGCTGTTTGTATATTGAAAGCTTTTTGGTTGTTTTTGAACTGCAACTTTCAAGTTAACTTTATTAAATCAGTCTGTATTTATTGCTTGTTTTTCCGCTATCTTAATTGTCTCTTAAATCTATTTGCAGCTGGGTCTCGGGCATCTTACAGCAGCCAGCACAGCCACCTTGGCTCCGAGTTAAGGGCACTGCAGTCTCCAGAACATCATATAGATCCTATTTACGAAGACAGAGTTTATCAGAAGCCCCCTATGAGGAGTCTCAGCCAGAGTCAGGGGGACCCTCTGCAACCAGCACACACAGGCACATATCGCACTAGTACAGGTGGGTGATTATAACTTGCATGATTGTCTTTTTATGAGCTCTGTCTTACTCTTCACTACTAATTCTTCTCTTTCTGATGAGTTAAACAACGTGAATTGTGTGCATGTCAGTAAAACAAAATACCTGTGTAGATGCAGCTATCAACAGAACACTAAAAGCATGCACAAAACGTAGAAATGCTTAGTGCTGTATACAGTAGCTTAAGCTAATTTGGAGAGAGGGCTTACTCATAAGGAGAGTGCTTCTATTAATCTTTTGTGTTGTCTTCAAGAAAAAAAAATCTCTGGAGTAATTGCTATTTTTATTTGCTAGCAAAGTTTGTGTTTTGCAAAGGGACTGCAAAGTTCCTTTCTCATGAAGCTAAAAGATTGCTCATTTGACTTTCAAGTGATTCATATGTATGTGTTCTTCCTCTCTCCTGCACAGGTAAGCTTATGCATAGGATCCCAGACACAAAATTGAACAAAGGCACTGACTAAAGCTGTTAGCATCCCTGTTTTATCCATATAATAATTGCCCATGAAGTACATTGGTGTCATCCTCGCAGAATGTCCACTCAACCAAGTGAAATGTAGTTGTATGTTGAAACTCACAGAGATTCAAATCAACAGGGATATTTATGGTATTGAATACTCGAAATAATTAGAGTTTATAGGTGCTACAGCCAAAATAGCCTAAAGCAGTTGTAAGAAAAACTTGCCTGAGGAGTTGCAAGTATTTCTAGTGTTTAGATCAATGCAACAAAAACAAATAGGGAAGATTCTGTCCATTCTCTTGTCACTCCTGTTTTCATCAAGAAAAAAGTGTTGTGTTTTTGTTTTTTGTTTTTTTTTTTGAGCTAGATAGTTTACTTTTTAAAAAACTTATTTTATTTTTGAAGTCTTCTAAGGGCAAAGTTGGCAGTTCTTGCATGTCTGAGGTTTCTGATGCTTTATGAAAGTTTTGGGTGTTCAGAGTAAGAGAAATACTTAAAGAAGTTAATCACAGAATTCTTTAGTTAACTACTTAAAGCTTTGTAGTTATTTAAAGTACTTTAAGCCATTACTTAACTAAAGTAACTTTATGCTTTGTGAAGAGTATTTCCTTTCAGTGAAAGAAACTACAGTAGCACGTTTTGTGTAGACATATTTGTGTGTGTGTGTGTATATATGAAGAAAGATTGCTGTTCTTTCGTGACTGGGACCAAGACTCTGTCTAAGTCACTGGACAGTAGTGGTAGCAAATAAAGCAACTTTTACATTGAGCTTTAATCCTTGCATTCCATGTGCAGCCTCTTATTTTGTATGCAGTGCACTCTTTCACGAACATGCATTGAATGGATTTCTTGTTTTGCTTGCAAAATGTCCTCTGAGTCTGTGCAGAACTAGCAGGCTTTCTTGTGACTGTTACCTTCACGGCACTTCTGTAAGTAAGGAAACCTTGTGAAACTAGATCACAATTATAGTGGATGAAACCGGATCACAGGATGTTAGTGGGTAATACATGAAGGCAGCTTTTTCAGAAGGGAAGAGCCCAAAGACACTGGTTTGGATAGCAGAAATGAACCCTGTCAATTTTGTTTTGCTGTATTTGGGACTCAGACTTCAGCTTTTCTCCAGATTTATCCTGAAGAACTGCTACATTGGTCCAGCTCTGTCTTGTGTTGACCCTCCCTCACTTTCATCTCCCTTCCCTAATAATGCTATCACTGGCAGAAACAGGGCTGGAGGCATGCCAGGCTATCCACTGCACTGCACAGTATGGATGGTTGCTGTCAGCCTTTTGCACAGCCAGCCTGAAGAGCAGTCAGTGGTCAGAGGGAATCTTGGGCTGGACACACCAGCTCTCAGGCTCCTTCTGCCACAAATGTGCATGCTTCTGATATGAAGGCTATATATCTTTTCTCAAATTAGTAGAAGAAAGTGGTAAGAATCCAACTTAAGTTTAGCATGTGTACATTTTCAGTTCTTCATTGCCCGTTTCCTATTTCAGACTGAATAGGAATTTGCTTTCACTATTGGTGTAGGAAAGAAGGGTTGTAAATTTGTGTACTCCCTGAAGATAAATGCAGATTGTTCAAATCATGTTTCTTTTGTGTGCATGAAAAGCATTGGAGGGCAGGCTTAGAACTTTCTGCTTTTTTTTTTTTTTTTTTTTGTAGACTGTAGTTCATTCTCTTATGTATTACAGTCATATCTTTAATCTTAAAGATTGCACATATTTTTTTCACATGTGATGGAGAAAAGAGAAGGCAAATGTAGTTGAAGGACTTTGGATGAAGTCTGATTTTGTTGTTTTTTTTTTTTTAATTTTCTTTCTCTACAGCTGACATTTCACACCAGAAACAAAAGTTATGCAAATTATACTTGGAAGCCATTTGCTTCTATGACTTCTCTTTTGGAAAGAGAGAACTCTTCCTGAATTTGAAGCTTCCACATTTCTGACGCAGAATGGAAATGTTTCTTCTTTCTTTTTTTAAAATAGGCATCGCCTCTCTCTTTTCTGAGCTCTGAAGTAGCTATTGCATTTGGGAATGTTTACACAACTGAGGATAAAGCCCACTCAGTTTTTCATTGCCTGAGTGAATCAACATGCAGTGAACAGAATTCTGAGATAGTCTAAGATTTCTCTGTGGTGTAAGTAACACACTGTGAATTTAGTGTACTTGCTACTTGCTATATTTTTTTAGCATGTATTTTTAATTTCATGTTTCACTAATGAATGAAATGCATGACCATAGTTATACACTAAGGGCTACGTATTGCAGAAGGTACAAAGTAGTAGGAGCTTGTAGAACATCTTCTCAAGCATAACATCAGATGGGGCAGGACAAATTCTTCATCACTTTGAAGTTCAAGTCATGATTGGGTGTGTTCCTGTCAAGCTTAGCTAAAAATAGTCTTGCAATCTTCACAGCAATGGCTGCATAGGCTTTCTTGGCCTGTAGTTTTATGTAGTAGTCCCTTCTGGCCTTAAAAAGGTTGTGCCTTCTCTTGTAAAAAGTAGTAGCCTAAACTTTTGCACTGCATTTCACAATAAATTTCTAAATTTACTTACTGAGTAGGAATTCATTTGTTAGCTAAATAACACTACTAATTTTTTTTTTCCAAGCAGTCACCTCATTTATTTTTCTTACAAACCTAAAGGCATTGCTTTATTCATTTAAACTGTGAACTAATGACTGTAACGGTAAACTTATTTGGTGGGATGTTTACATGAGTGCTGCTGGAATTTGAAGCGTGTTGTTACTTAAGAGAGGAAAAAGATTTGCTTACAGCCAGCACGGGTTGCAGAATAATTATTCTCTCATGCATTGGCTTAGTTTGTGGAATTGGAGGTTAGGTCTAATATTTTAGTCTTATTTAAATCAATTGTTGGCATTTTATTCATGCTAAATATGAATCAAGTCCAAGTTTGTGAAATCTGGCTGTTTTGTAAGCATGAAATTTTTGTAGTTTTTCTGAAGAGAAGGCGATGTGTCTCAGGTACCAGGCTACTGGTTTTGACTTACAGTACAGGAACATGGCTGTGACAACAGTAGGTGCTTTGAGATCAGTTGTTATTATCCTCGTGACAACAGTGACAACACTCTGTCTGGAAATGCATAAAGGCACTTGTCACTTTCACCAAGAGACCAATGAAAACAAGCCCTCTTCCATAAAAGGATGTGATTTCTTGGTAACATTATTAAAAGCTTTGAAAGAATGATGTTCCCAGCATTCTGGAAATAATGGGATGTAAATATGTTTACCTTGACCCTCCCCAGGCTGGGCCTGGAATTTTATCAGCTGAAAAATGTGCTGCTCTTTAAAAGCAAGACTGTTGCTGGTGAGCTGTGAATGTGTTGAGCTTAGAACATGTTGAGCATTTGTGAAGAGTGTTTCTTGGTTTTCAAGGTATCATTGTCCTCAACCTCACTCAAGTGGTAAGGAGGAGCCAGCTATTAAACAAGAAGAATGAACCTGTCCTCCCAGCTCTATGAAGCATATGTCTCCCCTGTATCAGTGCTCCCCTGATAACACTGCTAGAGAAAGCTGAAGTGTTGCCTTGGTGCATAGGTCGATAACTGTTTCTGCTCCTGAAGGCCACCATGAGGAATGCCTGGTGGCACAGCTTGATCACAGGAAGTCTAGCAGCTCTGTAGGGTTTATGCAGGCAGATGACATTAGCTGTGAGTGCTGGGTGCTTGGACTCAGCATTTGGAGCACTCTCTTGTTATTTTCAGAGGTTGAGGAAAAATCTTGGAGAAGAGGTTGGAGTCTGTGGTGGAACAAGTTTGGCATTCCTGAGGTTAAAAAGAGGATCCCAGAATGAAATTTCTATTGTGAACAAGGTCAGGTGGTGGAAGGATAAGCAGTCAAACTTTGCATTGGCTTTGTATGGTAACTTAGCATAGGAAGCAAAGTGTTTATATGAAGCATGGTTTCTGGGCTGGGGTGCGTGTGTGTAGCAAGGGCTCTCCTGCATTACTTCTCCCTGCTACTTTTGAAGCTGCCTGATGTCCCTGTGTACTGCAGCTAGGGAGCTTGCAGCCTCTCCTGTCGCCTCCTGTCCTTCAGATCAGGTCTGAGCATGCTCACACCAGCACTCTGGCTCCATCAGCATAGTACTTCTGAAGATCTTATATTAAAAGCTTTGATGGCGTGATCTGTTTGGGCTCCTGAGTGCTGTGTTAGAGGATACTCTTCAAAGAGAAGAGGCCTATGAAATTTGTGACAGCAAATGCAAAACAGAAACATGGCTCTTTGTTGGCTGGATTTGTGTGAGGAGGGAGGCCACCACCAGGAGCAGTGTTGCCATGGTGAGTCCAAGGGGAGGTTCTTTGGAGGGAAGAGCTTTCTGCAGTGGACCTGTCCTGTGCCAGGAGGATGTCACGCTTCAGCAGCAGTAACCAGGCAGGAATGTCCTTGCTGCAAGCGCTTTCAATGATTGGTGTTTGCTTTTGGTCTTCAGTGAAGGGCACAGGGGGCAAACACAGCACACACGCAAACACCAGGCATAGAGCCTGTTGCTCCTGGTGT